GCCTTAGCCGCTTGAGCCACAGGCGCCGAGCCACATTTTTCAATAATAGCATTTCCCTCCAATGTGGATATTGTGTTGACTGCACAAAACTCTGGCTACTTTCAACTGGGAAAGAGGTAAAAACTACTTCATGAGTTAAGGATGGTGATTTTTCCCTTGTCTGATCTCCTGATCTTCTGAACCTCTACCTCCTTTTCAAGCTGCCATAACCACAGAGGTCCTTGGCTGGCACATCTACAAGCAACAGAGAATTCACTGCAACCTGGAATTATCTTTTGGCACTGTATAGCTTGAGAGATGGTGATTAGAAGGAGAAAAAAAAAAATAAAACCTCATCAACTAAGTGGCATTTTCATTTCAGCTGTTCCTAGGGGCAAAACAGAGCCATAAAGAGAAATCCCAGATTGAAAGCTTTGTGGTTATCTCCGCTTCTCATTAACGTGCCCCTGATTATAATCACACCTACGATTACAAGATTTAACACACCTGGTCTCAAGGATGCACCAGGAAGAGGAATCATATATTCATCCCATCTCATTTCCTTTTCTTTATTCACTGAGCAAGCACAATTTACAAGTTTAAGTGAGTGTGGACAAGGGATGGATTGGAGAATAGGAGAGAGACTTTTCTTTTCTTTTCTTTTCTTTTTTTTTTGAGACGGAGTCTCACTTTGTTGCCCTGGGTAGAGTGCTATGGCGTCATAGATCACAGCAACCTCAAACTCTTGGGCTTAAGCAATTCTCTTGTCTCAGCCTCCCAAATAGCTAGGACTATAGGCGCCCGCCAAAACACCCGGCTATTTTGTTGTTGTTTTGTTTGCAGTTGTTTAGCTGGCCTGGGCCGGATCCGAACCTGCCACCCTCAGTGTATCTGGGCACTATAACCACTGTGCTATGGGCACCAAGCCAGAGAGAGACTTTTCGTTCACATGGCTTTTTTTTTTTTTTTGGCTGGGGCTAGGTTTGAACCCACCACCTCCGGCATATGGGGCCAGCACCCTACCCTTTTGAACCATAGGTGCCGCCCTCTCATTCACATGGCTTTTTGGAAATGGCAAATATCTTCTGTGGTCACAAATTATTTTAGTACTGGTAAGACAAGCAGTCTTGTTTTCATTGGCTACACACAGATAGAAATATGGATATAGTTTCTTTCTATTTCTTCTCCAAATTTATTTATTCATTTTGAGACAAGAGTCTCACTGTGCTGCCCAGGCTAAAGTGCTGTGGTGTCATCATAGCTTGTAGCAATCTCAAACCCCTGGGTTCAAGCGATCCTTCTGCCTCCGCCTCCAGAGTGCTAGGATTACAGGTGTGAGCCACTGTGTGGCTTTACTTATCAGACATTTTTTCTACTTTACATACATACTTTCTCTTATCATCTATCACTCAGTAAGAGTATATACACTTACCCAAGTTTTGTAGATTTCTTTTAATAGTGTTTAACTTAGATTTTAAATAAATTTTTCTTTTGAATTTTAGATTTACAGAAAACTTGCAAAGATAGTACAGGGTCCCTGTATACCCCTCACCCAGCTTCCCCTATTGTTAACAACTTACATACTAATGATATATTTGCCACGAGTTTTATAGATCTTAACAACGGATGAAAAGCACTGATCCTTAACTCCCTTTTGTACAAGAGTGTCTCAACAAAGGAAGTATGTCACATATAGTAATTTTTTTATTATATGAATTACCAAGTTGTGATTTACACATTTC